TGGTAGATGCCTTGTCTACCACGCATGAAGCCCTGGATTTAACTTCCAACAAGCATGAACTGGATGCAGAGGTAGAAGCCTATAATCCCATCACTCATGGACATCCTCGGGGGTCAGCCTTCGCTAGCTGTTAACAAACCTGCATGTGATGTTCTTTTCTTTTTTTTTTTTTTTATCCTTTTAAATTTAGGGGCTGGGGAGATTTCTCAATAAGCAAAGTGCTTGCTGTAAGCCTGGGAACCTGAATTCACATCCCCAGCATCATGTAAAAGCCAGGTGTGATAGAGAGCACCTGTAGCCCCAGCACTGGGAAGTGAAACAGCCAGAGTCCCAGAGTTCACTGGGAAGCCAGTGTTACCAAACTGGTCAGCTTCTGAGGCAGTGGAGAAATCCATCTCCAAGAGGGTCACGGAAATGGCTCAGCAGGTAGAGGCTCCTGATACCAAGCCTGAAGGCCTGTGCTCCACTCCTCAGACCCACAAGAGGGAAGGTGACATCGGAGTACTGCCAGTTGTCCTCCGATCTCTGCACACACACACACATGTACGCACGTGCACACGAAAACATAATAAATAAATATAATTTTTTGTTAAATGTAGAGCCAGGTGTGGTGGCACACGCCTTTAATCCCAGCACTCTGGAGGCAGAAGCAGAAGAATCTCTGAGTTTGACGCCAGCCTGGTCTACATAATGAGTTCCAGAAAAGCAAGGGCTACACAGAGAAACCCTGTCTCAAAAAGCTAAAAAAAAAAAAAAAAAAAAGTAATAGGAGCTGCAGAAGAGAGCCAACTCAATGTTAATCTCTACATGTGTATAATGCACATAAACAAAAACATTTTAAAATTTAACTATTTATTTATCTATGTTTTAGTTCTAGGAGAAAAGGTCTCACTGTGTACCTTTGGGTGGCCTGAAACTCACCTTGTAGGTCTGGAACTCACAGAGATCTCCCTTCCTCTCTCTCCTGTGTGCTGGAATGAAAAGGCCTACACCACCACAGCTGGCAGATAGACAGACAGACAGACATAATTTTTTAAATCTGGGTGTTTCTAGGGCCAGTGAGATGGCTCAGCCCCAGTAAAGGCATTACTGCCAAGCCTGGCAATCTGAATTCTACCCAGAACCCAGATTGTAGAGGGAGAAAACTGACTTTTGAAAGTTGTTCTCTGACCTCTCCAGGCCCACTGTGGCACAAATACGCATATGCGTAGCGAATGGCAACAGTTACTGCCCCACAATTCCTGCATCCAGAACCCTGGCTTTGTTTTTGGAAAAGCCTGGGGTCTCAGCTTCTTTCTGCAAGCTGCCTTCCAGGCTGCAGCAATTGCTTAAGTCTGTGCTGCAATCCAGAGAGCCCAGGAGTGGGAAGTCCAGAGTTCTCCCTGCTTCTGGGAACAGCCCCCCATCCCCCCTCAGCACAGCTTCCACAGGCCGTCCTCATGAGAGTGGGTCAGGCTCACCCAAGGATTTCACAAACGCCTGGCCTGTTCCCAGCACAGCACAGCTGGGAGGGCTCAGCGCCTGAGGAGGATGGACCATCCTCCACAGCTCCTGCTGTCCTTGGGCTCGGGGCCTCCGGGTCTGGAGCCTGGGGACAGAAAAGGGCTGTGCCTGTCCAGGCTTGCCACAGCTGTGGTGAACTTCAGGCCTTCCCTCCCTACTTCACTTCCCAGCTTGAGCTTAGTCAAGGTGCTAGGAGGAAATTCCCTTTCCAGGAAGAGCGGAAACACAGGCTTGGCTTCCCCAAAGTGAGCAGCAGGTGGGTCAGCTAGGAGGGCCTGGGATTCTCAGACTCTGATTCTCAGGCCCCCTGATTCACAAGAGCTGTGGTTGGAGTTCAGGAATCACCCCCGGGGACCAGCCGTGGTTCTCTTTGCCTTCACGAGGCCCGGGAGGCACTGGGAAAGCTTGGCAGACTGAAACTGGTTTCAGGTAGTCTCATTGACTCTGTCACCCTCTTCCACGATCCTGGAGGGGTTGCCCTTGGGTTCAGCACCTTACTTTCTCTATCAGGAGTGTTCTGACTGAAGGTGGCTCAGACCCTTTGTCAGGCTTTGGGGGATAACTCAAAACAAGCCAGTGGCTTTCCATGGCCAAGTTGTGGATGTTTAGTGAACAGTTGATTGGATAGCCATTTACATGCTTACTAGTTTATTGTTGGCTTTCTCGCACTCAGACTTAACTCCTGTCGTCTCCCGGAGGGGGTCGGTGACTCTTGTGACCAATGACAGGCTCCCTCCCGCCCCCACCCAGGGAGGTGCGCCTGGCCGCCTCGCGGCCGAGTTTCCTGGCACTAGGCTGAGAATAAACAGCGCTCTCTGCGCCTGTAATCCCGTTGCCGTGGCGACGGCGCTCCGCGGGAGGGGGCGTGTCGGAGGCGTATCTTGGTCGAGTGGGCGTGTTGGGAGCGGGGCCTGAAGGGACCGCCCTCCCTGCGCACAACGCGGACATTCTTCGCATAGCTGCTCCCGGGCTCCCGCGGTGGCCGGGAAGTGACTCTTCCTGGCAGAGGGTGGCTCTAAGCGCGGAGCTAGGAGCGGGAGGAGGATGGGCGGAGCGCAGAAAGGGGCTCTGAGAGGCTCTGCCCACTCTGGGCCTCGGTGGGCACCTCACGTCCTCGTGCGTGTTGCCCCAATCACTACTCAGCCGTCGTTTCTGGGGCCCTGACTGCCTAGCTTCTCCGTACCCCTGCGGTGGCCCCTCCCTGACTGACATCCTTACTCATTCTGTACGCGAGGACACTTCGTGAGGGCTTATTTTCCATCGCCAGCTGCCTGTCTGTGGCCTCCCTCTCTCCCTCTTATCCCAAAAGCAGGCTTTGGATTTCCCATTCCTGGCTCAAGTCTTCAGGCCAGCCCAAAGCAGCACCATCAGGGAGAACGGGGCCTCTCGGGTGAATTCTTGCAGTCCTGGAAGCGCGGTAATAGAATACAGAGGCAGAGGGCAGCCTCATTTTCTGCCGCTCCAAGTACATGGATTCGCCCCACCCCTTGCAAGCCCTTTATGGAGCATTTGGGTCCAGGAGCACCTCTCTGGAAAGCAAGACCCCCAGGTCCCCACAGTAGGAGAAGGAGAGTTTTACCCTGAAAAGACTGAGCCACAGAAGGGCTGTGTGACAGGGATGAGAGGAGGAGGGCTCAGGGAGGGATGGAGTGACTGTGGCCAGTCGCTCGCTGTGAGGGTGTAAGTTGCTCTGTTCTTCCGAACACTGTGATTTTCCTGGTGTGCGCCGGTCCCGGGGTGTGCTCTGAGCTGGAGACACAGGTAGGCAAGGAGCTGCAGGGAAAACAAGCCCCTTTCCTCTTTGTTCTGAGAGCCCCCACCCCAAACTAAACTGAGCTTCCAGGCCATAGACAGAGAGAGAGAGGACCCATGTCCTATGCACACGGACATGTGGCTAAACAGCCACCTTCTGGCTCAAGGACGGGCCAGCTGCATGGCCAGGTTCCCTGGGTCCCTGGAGGCTGTAATTTCCACAAAAGTGGACCTCTCCAGCAAGTGGCAGGTGGATGCCACTGGGCAGGCTTCAGGACAGGAAGGTTTCCTGAGATGCTGGGAACTCCAGGCGAGATGTGCACCTGCCGTCCTGGTTTCAGGGTTGACAGCCCTCCATCGAGGGTCTGGCATTGTCTACTCGGGTCTCATGCCCGCTCCAGCCCCTTATCTCTTTGGATCGTTTCCCCCCACGGCCCAGGAAACGGGTAAGCAAACAGGTCTGTTTATTCTTCCAGTTGCCTTTTAAACACTTGACTCTTGAGGCAGCTGTTTCTCAGGTATGCTGAGGGACCAGAGGAGGCTCTGGCACCTTTCAGGTACTTGAATATCAGACAGAGAGACTGAGGAGCCCCACGCTGGGAATAACACTCAAATCTCAGAGCTCTTTGGGTCTGGGCAGCCGGAGGAGAAAAATTGCACCACGGAACAGTGTTTGTTTTCATAGCAGAATCTTACCACGAAACCTGTGTGTAGGAGGAACATCAAGCACTTGCTTTTGTTGTTTGTTTGTTTGTTTGTGTAGCTCTGGCTGTCCTGGAACTCACTCGGTAGGCCAGGCTGGCCTGGAACTCACAGAGAGTCGGCCTGGCTCTGCCTCCTGAGTGCTGGGGCTAAGGGCTTGAGCCACCACTGCCCAGTTTAGCTCTTGGTTTAGGAGACAGTGTGGGGAATCAATGCCCCTAAGCACCAATCCTTCGTTGTTCCCACATTCCTGGTGCTGTGTCCTTGGCAGGTTGCTTAACTCCCCTGAACCTGAGTCTGCCCCAAACTCAATGAATAAATATTTACAGATCACCTCTTCAGGCACCAGAAATGACGAATCCAAGTCGTGCTGCGTCCTGCTCACACGGAAACACAGCTATGTCTCATGGGGTTGCCTGGGAGACTCAGCCTCCTTAGTGCCCAGAGGTAGCATGAATCCACGTGTGGTTTTCCAGGAGCCAGGTAGTCCACGGCCCAGTTGGGACTTTTAAGAATACAAAATGAATGTATGGGGGAGCATGGCCAGAAAGCCAAAACACCGTCCCAGGGCCCCACCTGCTTTCCAGCTTTGTATGGGGATTACCCCTCCCCCTCCGTGCCAGGATGTCTGTGACGCTGTGCTGAGGTCACGAGTCACCGTCAGGACCCCACATCCAGGCTTTCTGGGAACCCCTCCCTGCCAAGCAGCCCAGCCGGACTGATCGCTAATAGCTCAGCACCTCTAACAGCTTTTGACCACAGCGCAGCCTGCTCCCTGTAAGCCCTTTGAAACAGGCACTTCCTTCGCAAACTTGCTTTGCATATTCTGGTCAGAGCTGAATCAGACTGGCAGGAATTACCCATCAGTAACAGTCTAGGTGGCTGCCTTAGCTTGCCAGTGACACAAGACGGCTGCTGGTGACGTGAGGGCCCATCTGATTCTACCTCAGAGCTGGAGGCAGGGATCCAGAAAGCACAGTCAGACCCCTCCCCTCGTTTGCACGTGGGCGGAAGAGAAAGCAGGAAAAGAAGGATCAAGCCTCTTTTTTTTCATTAAAAAATAGTGCTCTTTATTATAAATTACTGAAATGTTTCTTTTTGAGTATAAATATAAATATATGTGCAAAGTCTGAGTTGAACTGGGATTTGGTTGAGTTTTTCAAGCATCTTCAAACAGCCTCAAAGGCCTGAGTGGGGAGTAGGGGCGACTGGAGGTGGATCTTTAAAAAAGTGATTGAGGCAAATTGTAAACATTATTCAAAAACAACAGAGAGAAAATGCCACCCCAACACACAGCTGCCCCACCCAGCCCCATACCTGACTCAGAAAACTTTGTTGTTTCTCCCCAAAACAAGACCAGCTCCAGGTTAATTCCATGGCTGCTGCATTCCTGTGAGTGGCCACCATGGGCAGCCCCTGAAGGCTTCTCCATCACCTTCCCCTCCCCCAGGTGAGAAGGGGTAAGGTTGTGCAGGGCCTTAAGGACCCGGGACCTGCTGATCCCCCTGACCAAGAGGACTGGCCAGTTTCTTCCCAGCACTCACCAATAAGTCTGAGTGACTGGCTCTCCTCCCTGCACCCACTTCCCCTGGCCTGCAGCTACCTGGTGAATCCCTCAACTCTCTGCCTGTTGGCTGTGTTTGGCTCCTCGTGTGCCAATCCCCATCCATGGGACAGAGGGCATTTAAGGCAAGTCTCCCAGCCTGACACAGGAGAAACAAAGTAGAAGCCCCATCCGCTCTAAGGAAACCTGGGCTCCAAGGCAGCTCATCTGTTTACCTGCCTCCCTCTGGTGTTGGAAAAGGTGGCCAACCACCAGCCTCATCCATCTCCCTTCCAAAAGCCTCTGCCTCCTTACAAAGGGGCTTTGGGATCTATCTGGGAGGTTTCATTAGCTGCCCCAAGGGAGAGGAGCCTGGCACCAGAATGGCTCTTTTAAGGTCACCCCTTCCTTGCCTCTCTCCCTAGAGGCAGAAGTCACCACTCCTCACCTAGGCTGGGCAGTGGGAGTGGTCATTTCTTTGGCCAGCTGAAAACCCTTCACACACCCTCTTCTCTTCCATCTTTCCCCCAGGCCTGGCGCCTGCTCAGGATTAAACCAAATCAAAGGGCAAACAAGTTCCGTGGGAAAGTTTGAAGATTCCCCTCGCAGTTCTCGTAAGTCCAGCACTTAGAGGTGTCTCCCCCCTCTCCCTTGGGAAGGAAGCAGAAGGGGGTGTGGAGGCAGGGGAGAAGAGAGTCCACTTGTCAATGCTATTGTCCCAGCAGGCCAGCTGGACTCTCCAGAGAGAAGCTGGAGCTGAGGGAGAGAAAGCAGGTGGCAACTCTCCCTCCCCTCAGACACATTCCAGGTCCTGCCTGTCCCACTCTGAGGAGCAGAGGGCCCCAGGAAGAAGCCTTCCGCCCCAGGCTCACTGGGAGCGACCGCCCATCGGGGCTGGATTTTTGTGCTTGTGCCATGTGCCTCCGGGGAGAGGCGACCAACCCAGGCCCCCCTCTGACCCCTTTGCTCTTTAAAGCGGAGCATCATACTGGTCCAGGAACTCCCGAATGGGTCCAGGCAGCTGGGTCACTTTCTCATAGGAGTCCAGGTGGCCGTTGACAGTCTTGCGGCAGAGATGCTGGAGGGTGGCCACGTTGGAGGAGAGAGGTCGGCTCAGTACCAGCGGAATCTTCTCCCCCCCTGAATAGATGTAGTAAGCTCTCTTGGGGGTGCTCCCGGGGAGTGCCTGGGCAGGTGGCTGCTCCGGCACCTCAGAGGAGGGTTCCGTGGGTGGCAAAGGGAAGGAGGGGGCCCCCGACGGCGGCATGTAGTGGTGCACCAGCTTGAGTACACAGTCGAAGCGGGGCACTGGCTGCGTGCTCCGGGGGTCACTCTGCAGCGAAAAGCTGCCCCCCTCGCACTGGATGCGTAGGTTCTTGGTCCCCGACTGGGTCTTGACGCTCAGCGTGAAGAAGTGGCGCTGGTCCGAGCTGTCGCGGATTAGAAAGGTGCCCGCGGGCTCGGCGCTGAGCAGCAGGTTCGCCTCGCCGCCGGTCACCGCGCTCCAGTAGAATCCGCTCTCCTGCAGCTTGCGCACGGCGTTCACCACCAGCTGGTATTCGCTCTTGGAGCTGAAGGTCTTGAGGCGCAGGCTGGTGTCCAGGGGGCGGCTCATCCCGGCGGCGGGAAACTTGCTGTGGGTGACCATGGCGCACGGAGCCAGCGTGGATCTGCGCGGCGGTGGCTGCAGCTGCTTCGCGGCCTCCGCACAGCGGCCGCTACCGCATCCCGGGGTGCTGTGGAGAGCAAAGCGCGAGGCGCGTGAGTGCCCGGAACTCTCCAGCGTGCCCGGCCCTCCAGTCCCCGCCGAGCGCCCGGGGCTCCCCCCGGCCTCGCAGAAGGCCGTGTCTCGGACCCAGCCACCTCACAGAGCTCCCCGGGCCTCGGTCCCCGTGGGCCGACCCCAGACAGTCCCTTCCCCAGCGCGCCCAGGGAGGACGCCCGAGAGAAACTCGCGCGTGAAAGTTGGGTCTCCAGGAGCACGGCCAGGATGGGGAGAGACAAGAGCCCCAGGGACGCTCAAGGCGCCGCTCAGTCCGGTGCCCTCGGCGGCGAGGACGAAAGAGGGGTGACAAACCCAAGATCCGAGGGAGAGGGGACTGCAGAAGCCCGAGGGCCCAGTCTGAGTGTTACGGGAACCCGGGATCTTCGGTTCTCATCCGCTCTGCCCCCTACCTCGTCCCCTCCCTACCGGGAATGACCCGGGAAGGGGAGGAGAAACCGGGAAAAGCTCCCGAGCTGGATCGAGGCCCCCACCCTTCCCCACACCGCGCCCCTCCTTCCTACCTAGTCCCGAAGCGAAGTCTCCGGCCTTGGGGCTGCGCCTCCTACGGTCCCCAAGGCGAGGCGGCGGCCAGCAGTGGCCCGCGCTGCGCCCAGATGTTGGCGGTCGTGAAGTCCACAAAGGGGCTTCCCGGGCGTGTGTCCCCTCCGGTTTCGCTGCCCCCGGGGCCGATCAGGCGTGCCCCGAGATGGATTAGGCAAAAGACCCCGGGCGAGGGGCCACGACAGAGAGCTGGCCCGGGAAGGGGGCGGCCGGGAGTCCGGAGAGACAGCGGCGGTAGTGAGAGCAGGCGAACCAAGAGTCGGAGTTGAGAGCCGCCCCGGAGGCCGCGCGCGCGGGTATTTACCCGGCCAGCACGCCCCGCCCCCCCGATTCCTGGAACTGCCCGACCGGCCTTCTTGTAATGTTTAGTCACTACTCTGCACTGAAAGGCTGTGCGCGGAGGGCGAGGGAGGGGCCGCGAGCGGCCGAGGGCGGGCCTGGATGCTGGGGGCCTCCAGGACCCGCGAGACGCACGGAGAGGGAGACAAAGCGCGGCGCGAGGCTGCCCGAGCGGCGGGCGCGGCGCCAGCCGCGGCCGAGCGTTCCTGGCAGCGGCCCCTCCCCCCCCCGCGCTCCGCCCCCAACTTCTCATTCACACTTTCCCCCCCCACCCCCTCCCTTCTAAGAAGGCTGGTTTCTGGCAGAGGCGGGGTGCCGCGATGGGAGCGCGCGGGCAGTTCTAGGAGGCCGGCCGGGAGAGACTCCCGGCACCCCTTCCCTTTTTCTTGGACCCCTGCGGGGACGCTCCCCTCGCCCCCACCCAAGCCACCCCGAGGTCCGCGTTTACAGTTTCAAGCATCCCGTGCCAGCCAAAAGGGAGGGAGGGCCGTTCCGCAGCCAGCTCACTAAGGACCTGGGAAGTGGAAGTGGGGGGTGCGAGACGGTTACCTGTGGACAGGTCCGAACGACGAAGCTGGGCGATCAGAAGTGGAGGCAGCTGCGGGGCCTCGGCTCATCCACCCATTGCCTGGCTCTTTGGTGACAGACGTGGGTGCTGATGCCCTTTGCAGGGGTGGGGGTGGGGGAAGCAGCTAACTGCCACCCTATCACTCATCTGGGCCTCCCAACCTGCGTGGTTAATGGTGGGTCCGCCCAGGTGCTCTCCGCGCGTCCTGAGAGCTTGAGGAAAGAAACCATGATTCCCCCACCCGGCGCCCCGGCTCGCGCCCGAGTCCACTAGAGGGCGCGCTGGAGTCTTGTAGGCACAGAGCGTTTTGGCAGTGTTTCCCAGACCCTGGAGAGAGAGGTTGTGGGACTCCTTATTCAAGACCAGGAGTAGGGAACCCCTCAGAGAAGGGAGGTTCACCTCCCAGGCCAGCAGGCATGCCCACTGAGCAGTTGTTATGGGTTCAGCCCACTGCCAGACTGTCGCTGAAGTGTTGAGATGGGCCCTCCCTTGCCTGTGAGTGTTAGGGTATCTGAACTTTTGAGAAGGCAGGGTGGAGGAGGGAGTATTGATAACAGCAGGTTATTGAGGTGAAAGGTTGACTTACTCCTGGTCACGTGAGTACCTATAAAAGCCTAGTGGCGAGTTTTGCAACAGGCAGCAGGATGCTGGTGTGCTACCTCAGAACCAGCGCAGCGACGCCCAGAGTGGCTGCTCTCTGTGGGCTTTCTGCCCCGGGCTCTTAGATACCACAGGCTTGGTGTTGCACCGGCCTGAGGGAAAAGTGCTGACTACTCGCAGTAGCTTGGGCTTGCAGGGAGGAGGGCTGCCTGCTCCCTTCTGGGGAATCGGTAGGCAGGTCAGGAACTTGGCTCCCTGTATGCTCCTCGGATGCTGAGGAACTGACGGAGGCTCCTGCCCAGCCTCTCTGGGCTCAGTCTTATCAACGGTTAAAAAGGAATAGGTGTTGCAGTGGGGCAGTCCCAAGAGGCTCAGGGGCCTTACTGAAAATATTTCACAGGCTGATGACCAGACATTGTTCACATGTGGGGATACCTCAAGTGAGGTCCGGGCCTTGCCTTCCGGTCACTTGCAGGCTCCCCTGAAATGGATTCTCTCTTTCTCTGTGAACAAGGCCTCCTGGTTCTCATTCGGGGAGTGTAACACAGCAGCTGCCTTGCCCATATGTGTCTGTGCTGAGGGCAGTGGAGGACAGGGAAGACTCTTAGGAAATAGCCCTGGAGTTAATGGATGGAAAAGTGCTTTGTAAATTACAATGCTCTGACACAAGTCAAGTTCATTCATCCATTTCACAAACCCTCACTTCATGCCTGCTTCTGTCAGGCCTGGGGACAGCTCGGCTGCTGGGAAAACCCTGCCTCAGGGCAGAGACCTTGAGCCGCGAGGGAAGACTGGCCGTGGCTGGAACCCAGTGAAACCCTGGGATGGGTCCTGAGGTGGGTGCGAGAGGGAAGTGAGGAGGCAGGAGAGCTGGCTCAGCAGTTAAGAATTCGTGCTGCACTTCCAGAAGACTGGGTGTGATTCCCAGCACCCAGGTGGGTGGGTCGCAACTGCTGTAACTCCAGCTCTGAGGTATCCTTGGCCTCCATGGGAACCCACACTCACATGCACATACCCCCCCCACACACACACACACACATACACATAATAAATAAAGCTCAGGGCCTTGTGTGGTAGTGCATGCCTTTAATCACAGCACTCTGGAAGCAGAAATGGACAGATCTCTGTGAATTCAAGGGCAGCCTGGCCTACATCGAGTTCCAGGCCAGCCAGGGCTACATAGACCCTATATAAATCAACTGAATGAGTTTGAGAAAGGGAAAGGAGAAGAAATGGTGCCGGAGCTTTAGGAATCCTGGCCTGGTTGGAGAGATTCATTTTTCTGAACAAGTCCTAACAGGAGTTGATGCTCAAGAGAGCCTTGGCTCTGCAGGGTCAGCAGGGAACTTCACTCAGAATAGAGGCCGAGAGTGTAGGGCTGTTTGAAGAGGTAGGACAGGAGCCATCAGGCATGTCTCTGTGGCTGGCTGCTGCAGCCTGAGACTGATGGGTAAGCTGGGCGCCACGCATGTTTTTAGGAACCTAAGCTGCTCCTAGGCTCCACTGCACAGTAGCTGTGTGAGTCCAATCCACCAACCTTGTGTAAAGTGGCCTAATGAGAGCACCTCCGTGAGTTGCTGTGAGGACTAAGGTGCTTAGAACTGTGCCTTCGAGGCTTCAGACGTCCCCCAGTTGAGAGGGTGCTTACCCAGCATGCAGGAAGCCCTAGGTTCCGTCCTTAGCTCCTGCCTCCCATCCTGCAGGTGGCGTTTCTCAGAGTAGCCCTGGCTGTCCTGGAACTGGCTCTGTAAGCCAGGCTAGCGTGAAACTCCTTCTGCCTCCGACTCCTGAGTGCTGGGATTAAAGGTGTGCTCTACCACACCGGGCTCAACTGCTTAAAATATTGAAGATTCTTTCCAAATTCTGTAGAGACGCCTTGAGGTGGATTTTAGGTGGCCAGGTCTTTTAATAAGGTTGTCGCTTGCACTGGGAGAAGCTGAAAAAACCCACAACAAAATAAATTCCTCATGTTTATAGGCTTTGAAAATAAACCTCCTGAGCTCAGTGGGAGAAGGGGCTGAGTTTAGCAGCCCAGTGAAAATCCTAGGTGGGGCCTAAGATTATAATTTAGGAAGCTAACCCTACCATCCCTCCCTACCTTTCAAAGGCTAGTACTCAAGAAGTTTAGGGTGGGTGTTAAGATCAGCCTCCAGGATTTAACAGGCACCACGTGGAACCCAGACTGGTGGCTCAAGTCTGCAGTCCCCAAAATCAAAAGGTCCATGCCAAGTTTGAGGCCAGCTTGAGCTTTGTGAGACCCTTCCTCAAACAAAACAACCAAAGAGCATGCTCCCAGGGCCTGGAGAAACAGTACTGATTGCTCTTGCAGAGGATTCAGGTTCAATTCCCAACACCTACATAACAGCTAACAAATGTCTGCTAACTCTAATTCTAGGGGATCCAATATCCTCTTTTGGCCTCTACAGGTATCAGATATGAATGTAATGCATGCAGCCAAAACACCCACACACATAAATTAAAGATGAGAAAAATGAAAAACAAAAACAAACAAACAAAAGCCTCACAACCCTGTGTCAAGATGAAGCCAAATATATCCTTTCCCGGTGCCAGCTTTTAGAAAGTGGTATCACTGAAGTGGCATGTGAACGCAAAGCTCATACTTTCTCTGAGAAGGGCACTTGGCCGACGGTCTGGGTGAAGAGCAGAAGGGGTCTTCAGTCCGAATCAGTGGTGGGAATAACAAACCAGGCTTTTCTGTGGAGTAAGTTTGACCTAGGGTAAAGTGTGTCTGCTGTTGAGTCAGGGGCATTCCTGTTACAGACCAAGGAGAACTGGAGAGAGGAAGCCCCAGTCTGTGAGATGCATTGTGTATGCCAGTCTGAATGTTCCTTCTCAACTTGGTTATTGTAAAAAAAAAAAAAAGGAGAGAAGGAAGGAGATTTCTGGACTGAGAGATCTACTGAGCCTTCACAGTTAGAGCCTAAAAGAGCTTGCAGAATCTGAAAACTTCAGTCTCTTTAAAGACAATTTCCACCAATTTGCAGTCAGACAGCCCTTTAAAAAAGTAGGAAGCTCAGGCCCAACGCACCCAAGAGTCAGCGTCCTATTACTCCCACATCCTGCAACACAAACTGACGTATTGCTCTGAAGAAACAATGCACCAAGACACAACAAGGAGGAGGCTGCAAAACATGCAGAAACTTTTGGCCAAGAGAATGAAGGAAGCCAAAGAAAGACACCAGGAACAGATTGCCAAGAGACAGACACAGGCTGTCCTTGCTGAGAGATTCTGCTTTGAAGTCTGAATCCAGTCAAAAATAAGTTTTTAAGAGGCACAGATGAATAACCAGGACCTGACAAGAAAAACAAAACCTCCTCCTTCGTGGAGTGTTAGGCTCCTGTGGGAGCCTTGCCCCATCTCTGTCCACCTCCAGGTGTCTCGACGTGTGCTGTGTGGGCTGGGCTGCCTCTGTCAGCTGGCTTAGCCTACCTGCTCCCCTGGGGTAAAACTGACTTTCCAGCTTGGTTGATTTGTGTTTTCCCCTCACAATAGATGTTGAAACTGCTGTACTCATCAAAGTGTTTTGACCTCTCAGTCAGTGAGAATCTTGAGAATCTTAAAGGAAGGGGTTGAATATATTGTCCTTTTTTTCTGTACATTTTGAAATTACCATTGTTTTAAAGTTATGAGTATATGTGTGTGCCCGTGTGTAGATGTGTGGTATGTGCATGGAGGCCAGAGGCATCTGGGCTCCCTGGATCTGGAGTTTATAGGGCACTGTGAACGTTTATGGCTCTTAACCACTGAGCCCTATTTCCTTTGTAAACCTGGGGCCTGGTGGACAGGACGCCCTCAGTG